TTTTTTTTTTTTTTAAAATTTTTTTATTTTTTTTTTTTTTTTTTTTTTTTTTTTTTTTTTTTTTTTTTTTATATTATATTCTTTTAATTTTATATATTTTGTATTTTGAATTTTGAACGCTTTCTTCTTAATATTCACATTTTCCTTTCGTTTGCTTTTATTCACTTTTTATTTTGAATTTATTTTTTAATACGTATTTTTACAAATATATTTATAAATTATAAGAAAAGATGAACAAAGAATTAAATTTAAATAAATTTTGAAGTAATAAAGTATTGATAAAAAAAAAAAAAAATATATATTTCAATTTTTAAAAATTTATATTTCAATTTTTTTTAAAAATAAAATTACATTTCAGAAGCATATTAATATAAATGAAAACATAAAATTAAAAAATGCATTCCTTATTTTAGAATAAATGTCTTTATGTAGTTGGATATTTTTAATTTGAAAGAAATATTTTTAATTTATTATTTCTTACCAATGCCTTTTTTTTTTTTTTTTTTTTTTTTTTTGTTTTATCATAATTATAACAGAAGTTTATAGTTTGTTTAATTCATAATGATAATATATTTTACAAAAGCATCTATTAAAAAAATGGATAATAGGAAAATAATATTTTTCTATAAAAAATAAAATCAATAATTTAACAAAGCGCTCTATATTTTTTAAAAATATTTATCAATTTAATTATATTTATTAGATGAGATATTTCTAGAATAAAAAAAAAAAAATAATATAAATGAATAAATATATAATATGAAAATATTATTTCTTTTTTTTTAAAAAATATATTTTTAAGAGGTTTAACCTTATTTATTAAAAACAACTGTTTAGTTTTAGTTTACTTCAATGGTTTTGATTTGATTAAATAATATATATTCAAAGAATTTTTTTTTCTTATAAAAAATAAATAAAAAACAAAAAAATATGATATATTTTTATAAGTGTAAAACTTTATATTTATTTTTTAAAATTATTAAATTATTTTTCTTCCTTTAAATTATTTCCAATATTTACAAATAGTTTCAAGATGGTTTTTTTTTTTTTTTTTTTCTTCTCTACATTTTAAGTTGAAATTATTTTCATCTTAATATTTACGTTTTTAAGTACATATTTTTATTATTTATTTTAAATAGTGCTTTTGCGTGAATTTCTTATATGTTTTAGTGATTAACAAAAAAGAAATTACAAATATTTTTTAATCTGTAAAAATATTACCAATTTTTTTTTTTTTTAATGATGTTAACAAAAAAAAAAAATATAATTTTTTTATCATAATTATTTTTTTTTTATTATTTTTACATATATGTAATAATTTATTTATTATATTTTATCATACCACATTTTTATTTAATTTTTCTTAAATATTAATTGAAATATATCTATTTTTAATGTTTTTTTTTTTTTTTTATTATCTTATATATTTTGAATTGTATTTATAATTTTACTTTTTTTAATGAATTAAATAAATTTTTTAATTAAATTCATTTGTATTTTTATACATAATTTTATTTTTATTTTAATTTTCATTTTTCTTTTAAAAAATATGGAAAAAATATCACCAGAAATTTTAGCTGCAAGAGCTAAGCTTAAAGAAAAAATGGGGGGTAATCAAAGACAAATAGGAGGAAAGGGTAGTGCAAGAAGAAAAATAAAGAAAGTTCATAAAAATACCATCTCAAATGAGAAAAAAATTAATTTGATTTTAAAAAAAATTGGAGCTTCTTATTTTGGGGATGTTGATGAAATTTCTGTATATAAAACAGATGACACATATTTAGAATTTAAAAAACCCAAATTATCTGCATCTTTACAATCTAATACTTATATTGTTACAGGAAAATTTACTGAACAAAAAATTGATATAAACAAAATATTTGAAGGATTAAAAGGTAATAAAAATTTAGATGTAAATCTTCTCGAAAAAATTAAGAATGATCCCAATATAAAAAATATTCTTAATAAGGAAAATGATTTAAAAAAAGAAAATGATGGAGTTGAAATACCAGATTTGGTGGAAAATTTCGAAGAAGTCTCAAAAGAAGAAAAATAACATATATATATATATATATATAAATGATATTTTATAACTCTTTTCTTTTCTTTTTTTTTTTTTTTTTTCCTTTTTTTTTTTTTTTTTTTTTTTTTTTTTACGACAAAATAATAGTATATAAGCAAAATTTATAAACATATTAATATAGATACTTTTATGTGAATAAGATTTATTTTAAAATAACTAATAATTTGTAACATATAGATTGTTTTTAATTATTTAAATAGAAAATATCAGAAAAAACTAAAATATTATAATGACATCAAAAACTATTTTTGTATAATAAGTTCCCTTTTTTTTTTTTTTTTTTTTTTTTCCAAATCAATTGCATAACGTTAGTATATTATAAACATAAAATAAACAAATTTAATCAGATAAAAAAAAAAAAAAAAAAAAATAGTTATGAAATGGTTGAATACAACATATAAACTCAAATATAAAAGTATTTATTGTTTCTATATGATAACAAAATTGATATTGAATACTTTTAAGAATTTTACTTAATAAAGGAAAACTTAATACTTCAGAATATAATTTTTTTTTTTTTTTTTCTTTTTTTTTTTTTGGTATAATTCTTATAAAAAATATATTTATTTTTTTCAAACTATTATTTTTTCTCTCATATAATGTCTTAAAAAAAATATAAAATCGTATGTATATTTTTTTTTTTTTTTTTTTTTTATATGTATGATGGTGTAGAATACAACAAAAGATGAGCTCATCCTTCTTTTTCATTTTTTTTTTTTATATATTTTTATGAATGAAAAAAGGAAATAAAATCCTTTTTATTTTATGTCCATTTTAAAATACTTTTTTCTCTTTTTTTGAAAAATTATAATAAAAGGCTATTTTCATACACTGGATAATTTACTATAGTAAAAGAATAAGAAAATAAACAAAAAAATTTTGAAATTGTTAATAATTCTTATATATAATTTCTAAAACATTGTAATATTATGATAAAAAAATATAATAAATCATCAATTCTTAAAACAAGAAACTTAAATTTTAAATTAAATATTTTCTATATATTTAAAAGAAAAAAGAAAAAAAAAGAAATACATATATAAAATAATGTAAATTTTTTTATATTTTTTTGTTTTCACATTATCTACAAGAAATAATATATAATATTATACTAATAATTCCAACTTAAAAATTATTTTAAAAATATCCTTTTATTTTTTTTTTTCTTAATATTTTCTGAGAAAAATAAAATAATAATTTTTTATAATTATTAGAAAATCTTAAAAATTTGGAATTTTTTTTTTTTTTTTAAAATAATATATTGACCCCCTTATACTCTCAGTGCATATAATGAATCATTAAGCATTTTTTAAAATAAATTTTTTCAAAATTATAGTATGCATGAATAAAAATATTTATATAAAACATAAAAAAGTATAAAAATATATAAAAAAATTTATTCATAATTTTATATATATAATATATATATATATATATTTACATATGTATATGTATTGTGATTAATATTTTATTTTTAATTTTTTGTATATTTTTTTATAAATTTATATATATATATATTTTTCATAATATATAGAAAAATTATTTTCAAATTATATATAGAAAAAAAAAAAAAAAAAAAAAAACACAAGGTTTATATATATATATTTATATAAATTAATTATATAAATTACATTAAATTATCAATTAAAACAAAATGGGAGGAAAATCAAGAGGTAAACGATCAGGAACACGATATAAGTTTTCAAAAAAATTTCGTCAACATGGAGAATGTTCAGCTAATAAATATTTAGAGAAATTAAAATATGGTGATTATGTTGATATAATTTGTGATTCTACTCAACAAAAAGGAATGCCATTTAATTACTATCATGGAAGAACAGGAAAAGTTTTTAATATTACTAAGAGGGGTGTTGGTGTTTTAGTTAATAAAAGAGTTAAACATAGAATTGAATTGAAAAAGGTTTGTGTAAGAATTGAACATGTAAGAAAATCTAAATGTAATCAAGATTTTCTTTTAAGAAAAAAACAAAATGCAGAATTAATTAAAGAAGCAAAATTAAAAAATGAACGTATTTGTATTAAAAGAAAACCAGAAGAACCAAAACCAGCTGCTATGATAAAAGTACCAAAATCAAAAATTATTACAGTAGAACCATTACCATTTTATGAAGAATATTAAATGACAAGAAAGAATAAAAGAATATATAAATAGATTATCAAGAAAAAAAAAAAAAAAATAATGTATAAAAAAAAGAATAAATAAAAAAAAATATCAATAAAAAATAGAAAATACAAGATAAAATCAACGAAGTTTTATTGACATTAAAAATATGGTAAAAATTAATAAAAATATTTTAAAATAATAAGAATATATTAAAAATAAATATAACTAAAATAAAAATAATCATTAAACAAATAAATTTAGAAGTAAATATCATTTAAATAGTTTTAATTAACTGAGTTGTAATATGCAAGTATTTATGCTTTATAATAATATTAAATATCTATTTTATTATTTAATTTTTTATCCATTAGAAAGAACTTTGTTTTATTTTTCTATTTTTATATAATTTTTTTTTCTTTTTTTTTTTTTTTTTTATTCAAACAAATAGATAAAATAATTTTTAAAAATTTTGAACAACATAATGATGTTTAAAAAAGAAAAAAAAGATACTAAAAATTTATGTAATCTTTAATTTCCTTAAGTTTTTTTCTTTTTTTAAAAAAAAAAAAAAAAAAGTTGATTTATCACTATTTCTGAAAAACTTGTATTTTTTATTTTTATGTAAAAAAAAAAAAAAAATATATTTTTATAAAAAATTAAACATAATGTTAGGTAAATTTTAATATTTAATAAAAATATTTTTTTTTTTAAAAAAATTATAGTACCTCAAAAAAGAATTACTGGGGAATCAAAAATAAAATTGGATTCAAATACATTTAAAATTCAGTGTTATTTTATAAAAAAAAAAAAAAAAAAAACATATTTATTTACTATTTTTTATGCTTTATATATGTTTAATCATTTTTTTTTTTTTTTTTTTTATATGCATATAGTTCATTTTTTTAATTATGTGTTAAAATTTTTTTTTTTTTTTTAACTTTTTTTTTATTAAAATAAACTGCATATTATCATGTTGGTGCTAATCTATATTTTTGATTTTCTTAAAAAATAAAAATTTACGATAAATGAATTCTATAGAAGAAAAAAATTTTTTTTTTTATCTGATTTATTTAGCTCCTATATTTTTTTTTTTGCTTTGCAACCTATTTGTATAAAGAATATTTTATTATTTTTATTTTTTCATTAAAAATATCCACAAAAATGGATATGAAAAAAGAGGAAGATGCAACAGGTGAATCTAATGAGGCAAATGAGAATATATATGAGGAATTATTTTCATATGCTAATAGTGATAATGAAATTGTAAAAAAGGAAAGTTTAAGAATTATATTAAGTTTATTAGAAGAAAATGAATTAATAGAATACATTAGAAAAAACAATAAAAAGTGTTTTAAAATTATTATTTCAAATTTAAATTCAAGAAATAAAATGTTATCACTTGAATGTTTATTAAATTTATCTGCCCGATTACCAAAAGGTTACTATAAAAAAAAAAAAAAAAAAAAAAAAAAAAAATATT